TGCCAATTGCCTGATGATCTCTGGGAGGATAGGGGGCAATGGCGATTGGGCGTCGCAGAGCGCGAGGCGGCGCTATAATCGCGACTTTATGTATGTATTCTTATTGTAGAGAATTTCAAATGGTCAATCAAGCTTTATTCCTAAACTGCAATCAGATTGGGTCAAATCATTTCCTAGGTACTGAATTTGCAACGTTAAAAGAAAGAATTGTAATATATTCCCAATAGTGCTTTGTCAAACCTCTAAAACAGGTATACAAAATTGAGCAAGCTTTTTGAGTAATTCGTAAAACATTTGCAAAATTTACTATTAATATCATCAAAACTACTGAAAATTGAAGTATATGAAATTAAAAGGAAATTGCGTCTTTCTCACGAACTGTTTCAGTAGATTGTTCTAAGGGACAAGCCTTCCGGTCATCATGTACCCAGCACACTCAGCACAGTTTACTGCCTCGTTGACTTTATCCGAACTTATATCATTGAATGCCCTCTTTTCAGAGACCACCAAATAAGGTGGTTTAGACAGAAGCACCAACACTGGCCTGAGAGGATTCTAATCGAGCATTTGTTTCTGTGACCCAACAACATCTCTTGTGAAAGTGAAATTATGTTCTGTAAAATTTAAAACATAATATTTATAATATTAATTGAGAACTCAGGAAATCCGAGTTAGATTAGCAATTGTGCTTCACTTTATTTTAGTATAAAAGTTCTGATACTTTCTCAAGCAGTAAAGAAAGAAGAAAATGGAAGCGGTCTGCAGTAGCAAGAGCAAAAAGTTAAAACTGCTAGGTATTGTGAGACCAAAAATCTATTTCTGATGCTTAAATGTAGTATTTTTCATCAAAATACTTGTATACTTTTTTCTTTTTTTTTGTAAAAAAATCTAAAAAAATTCAATGGAGATGAATTTGTATCGAGGGCTTCAACAAAGATCGCAATTTTGTTTTAAAATGCTTAACAATCTTTTACGATCGTTTTTCGATGAGTAATGTTTCATAATTAATTATGTATGCTCAAATTCAAAGCTCCCGAACATGGTGAATAGAGACCATTCCATTTTCGGCTGGCGAGAGTTGTTCAGTCCAGACTACACGCTAATTTTGATCAAACAATTGATGTCATTTGTTTGACATGGCCGGCCTCTAGAGAAAAGTGAAATCAATTAACTGAATTCTCCGCCATCAGCAGCAGAGAAGACAGGTGAAAGTTGCTTGCGCACGACGTGTATGGAATAAATTTTCTTGACGAAAATTTTATCGGTGGCCTTATTTTAGGGGCAGCAATTCTATTTCGGACCGCATAGAATAGTCTAATAATTGGAGGCGTTTCAGAGGTCTGTTAATTATTATACAATGGTTCAAGATCAAACATCGAAGTGGCCTTATGAAGCACGAGTTTGATTGAAAATTAAAGAAAAGTCATGGAGTTCATTCAAGACTACTGTTATGTAAAGGCAACACGCGCTCCTGTAATGATACGGAACACCCACAAAGGTCACGATCGATCGAATGAAAAATCGGCGATGGACTTTACCAATCGTGCTCAAACTTAGCTCAATGTCAGTCCGCCTTCAGTCTTTAGTGTAGGCAATACGAGCTCGTACGTGGTCGAATAGTGGTATCACTCTCAGATATCGCGACTGCGCGAGGGAAAAGTTGGATTCGACATCACGAAGCGAAGCGTAAAGCGGTGAATTTGGCTCATTGCCAGATTGCCTCCAATTTTGAGTGGAGGCAATTTGAACTTCCTCGTGGACGAATAGTGGTTTTGCTTTCAGATGTCTTACAGATCAAGGAAGAAGCCCCCAAAAAAGTATACAAACGATGTGGGAAACAAAGTGCGTACTACAATATTTCTACGATGAGATCAGTCCAACAACTTGGAAAACATATAGCTTAAATAATTCAGCTTGTTTGTCTCAAGTTGGGTCGGTTTGAGTTTCTCTTTAAGCCGTAATATTTCTATTAAGGCTTACAGGGCCGGATTAAGGGGATGCCCACATGAGCCGCGTCCCATGGCGGCAAAGTTTGCAATTTTTTCTAAATGCAGGTACAAAAAATTCGGATTTAGAAAAAAATTACAAACGAGAAAAGGCGACAAAATCTCTAATTTTGAGAGTATAGTAATTTCTACTTTTGTCGTATTTCGGTGATACAAAAGACTGCGCACCTTTAATTAGTTGAGTTAAGAGAGGAACCAAACACGTAATTTGGCCTGGAGCGGCGCGGCACAAAGAGAAATGATGACGAGGACTTGAGATGAAAAGGAGTAGCCCTCGACGCGGCGATCGGCATGTAACACATATTAGCGCCTACGAGACTAAATGAATACTTCACGCTTTGCGTCAAACACAGTACGGTCAAGAGCGGTCGACGCGGCGTGAAACGCACAGTGCCTACAAGACTACATGGATACTTCACGCATTGCGTCAAACACAGTACGGTCAACAGCGGTCGGCGCGGCGTGAAACGCACAGTGCCTACAAGACTGCATGAATACTTCACGCATTGCGCCAAACACAGTGTGGTCAGCGAGGCACGGCGGCGGAAGTTTAAATTATTAAACCACATTTATGTTTGTTCTGTCTTAATTTTTTAGTTCATTTCTTACAAATGAAAGGCCTTGTCCCCACAGAGATAGGTTTACGGAACTGAACTTTCGCGCGAAGTTCCGTGAACTTTTGCCAGTAGTGTTGACAGGGCTTACGCAGAAAATGTATCCAACATGAGTGAACGCGTCTTATGCACCCTTTTCCCTCCGGCACGTTCACTTGATGGTTTTTATTGAAGTTTCAAAATGAATGAGAAGAAGGCGGCAAAATACAGGCGGCCCATGGGCGGCAAGTAGGTAAATCCGGCCATGACGGCTTAAAGACTTAAATACTTATACTTGTATACTGCTTAAATACTTGTACTACGGCCTTTATGTATGTTTAGAGCTGCAAAAATGTTGGTTGTAACCAACTGGGCGCGACCATATAAGCTCAACACGTGCAAATTAGATAAAAGCTTTCTTTAACTCCGAAAATTTCAAAGAAAGGTTGCAATAAATTGCGATGTTATCAATTTTTGCCGCCAATGCCGTGCGAATAATTTAGCGGAGAAACAAACATTCAAAATATTATCTTAAAGGAAACCCCCCTCATATTTCCACCCCGTTTGCAACCCAGCCTGGGGTTTCTCAAATGTACCATTCAGTTCAGTGCACCGGGAAACGTGATTCAACTGACTTTAGCATTTCTCTGATTACGAGCTTATGTTTCGTTGCTGAAGGTGGCTGAGCGTGCCGAGCAAAATTCCTATTAACTGACGTCAGAACCTCTTCATAATGAGATGCCCGGCTTTAATATTTAAATCACCAAAAATCTTTTGTGGCGTGTGGGGTTGTGGCACATAGTTCTGCAAGCGCAAGTCCACCTAAAAAGTCCGAAAATATGTCAAGCTCACAATCAGATCCGATGTTACATGATCATCAGTTGCCAGATCTACGGTTGGACAACACCTTGCAGTGAGGAACTGTTATTCACGGCCCATTTCAGAAACAATGTATGTGCCGTTAGTTTCCCAATGCAGATAGTTCCTTTTACATACGAGCAATAGTGGTTCTTAATTCCAAAATGTGTCCAGTTTGTGTGCACCGATATTATTAGGCTGCAAGGAAGATTCTTTCGTCGTATTTTGAGTATAATTTCTGTGGGAATTCAATGCATGCTTCTTAGATAAGTAGTTTGGACATTTTAACAGGGATATAGTCCATAAATACTGTTAGTTGGAAGTACTGAAATTTTGAAATTAGTTGGGCAAACCTCGTTTTCTCGATTTAACACTGATGTATATACGACGATGTATATCGAAAGGGATGCATTGCGCAAAAGCTGAAGATCCGCACCTTAACGCTGCCGTGCTAAGGAAAAACGTCGTATGAACATTTGAGAGTTGCCAAATTTCCCTTGATAAGACATGTATTTTTGACGATCTTTATGCTTCTTTCGAATTTTCAGATATTTTAGATTAAATTGCGCACAAAATAGTCTGACAATTTTTGGGGAAAATATTCACAATTTTCCCGGTAAATTTGGTTTTTCTCGAAGGAGACTTGGCAACGTTTGAAGGCTCATACGGCGTTCTTCCCTAGCATAGCAGAATGGCGTGAAGAGGCTCTTCTTTTCCCTGGTTATGGATAGTTGAATGAAAAGGAGTCACCTGAAGTGACAACAGCGGCGCTATTGTCTCTCCGGAGCCGCGGCGATCCGGGAATCACGATGACGGTGACAGCTGATGACGTCAGCGGGCCACACTCATCGGATGGCTGGTCGGTCTTCATCTGGCGGCGGATTCTGATCGCTGCGGTGACGAATCGCTCAGTGCGACCAGCGACGTCTTCCGCGACCGGCGACGCCGCGACGCGACGCTTGTGCGACTACAGCGACGCCCCCTCGCCCCCCTCTCCTTACGCACAATAATCCTCGTCACTCCACCGAGAATGCAGAGATCCGTGCAACGTCCACTGTGTCCGGTTTTCTGACTCTGTTGTTCCTGAGTTTGGCGTGGACTTCCGACAGTGACCCACGTGCCGAGCGTGCTGCTACGACCGAATCCATCGCCCAACCGGTCCGATTTCCAGGAGTGGGTGGCCCGGCGTGCGTGGTCCAACGTCGTTGCTGCGGTTTGAGTCGTCGGATTTCTCCCCAGTTTTTACCGCGGTTTTGTTGCCATTAGTTCACTCTACCAGCGCCGTTTAAGTGATTGGAATATCAAAAAAATTGAACTTTTTCCCCGACTTCAAAAGCTTTCCTAACAGACGGGTTGGTTTATTTTTCCGAAGCTTTCAACAGTGTTAATACATCAAACTTTTCGTCGAACTTTCTGCAACTTTGGCTACCTTGCCATTTACCTCCTTTGATCGTGACGTAAAAACTCGAGCTTTTAGCAAACAAAACAAAAGTGTTTCATCAAACTTCTCGTCAAACTTTCGGCAACTTTAGCTACCGTGCCATTTACCTCCTTTGGTCGTGACGTAAAAACTCGAGCTTTTAGCAAACAAAACAAAAGTGTTTCATCAAACTTTTCGTCAAACTTTCTGCAACTTTATCTACCGTGTCATTTACCTCCTTCGGTCGTGACGTAAAAACTCGAGCTTTTAGCAAACAAAACAAAGGTGTTTCATCAAACTTCTCGTCAAACTTTCGGTAACTTTAGCTAACGTGCCATTTACTTACATACATTGATCGCGAGGTAAAAACTTGTGTTTTTAGCAGAAAGAATTTGTCCCATCAAACTTTTCGTCGAACTTTCTTTCATGAACGCAATATCATTTAACGGTTGAATACTCGTTTCCGAAAAATCATCGTTCGTAATTGTAAATTTTCCCGGCGGTCTAACCTACATCAACGCCGAAACGCTCAATCGTAGCGATGAAATCAGATTCTCGGAAATCAGGCACGTGACAGTTTTTTTCACACCTATCCGCGGCGTGGAGCCGAGTGCGAGCGCGAAAGGTTACGAATTACGATGACAAAGTTTTAAGGAGGAATCCCGGCGTGTGGAATACCGTATTCAAAGTCGCGCGATTATGCATCATTATGCATAATCTACGGATGAAAAGTCGGGACCACGCGCGCGTAAGTTGCGGCACCGGTCTGAGGAGTCGCTCAGTGCAGCGCGCGACTTTGACCGCTGAGGACAAACGGTGGCAGAGTTCGTGCGGGCATTAGCAAATCGTCACAGCCATTTGAAATTATAATCCGAACAGTGCCGAATTATCGTTGTGAATCGCGCGTGATAGCGTAAATTCGCGCGGTTGACACAGCCGCAGTCTGATTTCGAGTCTGATTCTGCGCCCGCAATCGCACGCCTCGTGACCAGCCCGCGGAAAAATCGTGTTTCATCCATCGAAACTCTCGGTTTTTTCGAATTGGAAGCGTTCCATCAACAGGGCAAAATAATTTTCGCGAAGTGTTGCTCGTTTTAATGATGGAATCATGAATCGCAATGAAATTCAGGTGAATTTGTTGCGAAGGTCGCGGTCAAGTGGGCCTTTAGTTGGAGTGTGTTCGCGACGGGAGATCAGTGTGGACAGATTTCCATAATCACCGGAATTTGTTCTTTCCCTCGAACCGAGAGCATCTTCGCGAATGACATTTCCGTCGATGCGACGTTCCCCTCCTTGTGTGACTCGCCGAGAAATGTCTGCATTCCTCGAATCTGCGAGTTAAAAAATTATCGGATTACCGAGTGAAGAAAGTGCTTCTCATGGGGGAAAATTGCTGATCGTTTTTAAAGGAACTGTGTTTCGCGGCGAGAAATGTGAGTGCAGTCACCGGGATCCCGTGGTGTTGTGTTGCGTGCATGAATCAGGACAGTGACATGCAGCTAACCTGCCGCTTTGAATGCATGAAGCCACGCTCTTTTCACTCGTCGATTTCGAAAGTTAATTGTTTCTAATTGGTTCCACGGCTGGGACCAGAGCTTCATGCCGTCGGGTCTGTGATAAAATTGGAAGTTGGATAACGTCGATACAAAACCTCTTCTTCAGTTTTTCCTCGAGTGTGTTTCTGTCTATACCTCGACTTAAAAATTCAAAACCATCCTCGGAGTTGATTTAATTTTTAACTCTGGTCAGAGTGCGAATCTAGTGCGTGACTCACAGTCAGGATTCACGAATTGCTTTTTTCAGTCCAAAATTTTCTAAATTCATCCATTTTAGAATCCATAAAACCATGCCTTAATCTGGAAACCCCCAGTGAAAAAACCTTAAAAAATTAAAAGTGATTCTTTTCGCCCAAGGAGTCGCCTCCACTCGGTATTTCAATCGGAGTATTTAAAATAGCAATACAAAGTGCGTGCAGCAACGAAACTAAGTTCTAGCCACTGAATTTGATTTGATGTCTTCACTGGCAATCGATCAAACTTTTCCAGCGAGAGAGTGAAAGTGACGTAAGAACAGAAGTTTAAGATGGCCGACACGTCGTACCTTTTTGGAGACGACGAGATCGACGGCTGGGGACAGAGGTACTTCTTCACATTCTTCAGCGAATTCGGGGATCGCGGGAATGTGCCGTACGTCGAGGCTGCCGTTCTCGTGGCTACGCTCGTTATTTCTGTGATATCCAATTTGTTCATCATAATCGCCGTCTTGCGGTACCGGCAGCTGCTGAAACTTCCCAATTACTTCGTCGTCAATTTAGCAGCCGCGGATCTTGTTTTCGCCCTGGGGATCCCTATTATTGCATATGCGAGGGTTACGCAGGAATGGCTGCTGGGTCCCTGGGTCTGCCGAATCCTGCCCTACACTCAGGTGAGAACTACAGAAAAATGTTCTTTCTTAACACTATGCTTGTTACATCTTGAAATCACCATAAGAAATGGACGTATTTCTATCAAAAGGAACTAAGCGCCATAGGGGGAGGAAGGTAGAGGGGGGCTTTGATTGGCGGCAGAAACGGGCGTCGGGCTCGTTCCGTCCTATACCTGCAATGCTTCTCCATGGCGCTTAGTTCCGTTTGACAGAACACGCTATCCGGCATTCTAAATTCCTCAAAAGGAACTCAAATTGGTGCTTAGTTCCGTTTGACAGAAATACGTCCAAATAAGTACTCATTTTAGTACCTTTATTGGAGAAAAGTAAATTTTAAAACTTGCTTTTTGAGCAACACTATTTTAAGGTGTATTTAATGCCTAAATTTTAAGTGCTCATCGTTCTGTATTGCGCTACTTAACTGGCAGTGAAAGAAAAAACGGCCCAATTCGACTGTAGCGTTTCAAAATTTTAACTCTCAGTAATGCGTTTAAAAGAATATTATCAGAGATGTTTCCTCAAAAAGTGCAATCCCGGATACCCAAAACACGTGTTTTTCTCGTTACACTATCATTATTGATACTATCCTTCAGCAGCCTGATTGTTGAAACTTTAACTGGCTATGTCGACAAGATAAGACAAGACATAGCCCGTGTAATATATCGATTTTCGATTCTTGCATGCCCACATATATTTCATCAATCGAGCTGCAGGCTGACAATGAATGTGTATCGTATCTCATTTAGGAACTTTTAGTGGTAGCGAAACAACACCATTTAAAGAATGAACATTCAAAACATCCGTCAGGTGGCCTAAGAAATCAAAAACGAAATTTAGAGAAAATTTGAATTCATGAAGAGACGACATTAGGTTTTTTCACTGTATGAAAAACTCTATGCACAATCATAGCGACACGTGAAAGTAATTTGAATGTTTTGAATTTGCACTATATTCAATTGATAATCTCCTCCCCCTCTTTCCCCCCTTACTAAATCCGAACCCCTCTCATAAAACAGATCGCTGTGCAGGGAAATTTGACGGATTTTTTTGAGTATAGTTCAAAATTACCCCCCCCCCCAAGAAAGAGGAATTTTGCCTCTCTATCCATCCATGTGGCGCATTATTATATGTAATTCATATCACTCGGACCCTCTTGTACCAGTGCGGTGCCCAATATTGGATAATTTCCTATGCCGATGTGATGATTTCAATTCTGTCTTCGCCCCTATCAGAGGTGCTAAAAGTATTTAAACTTTTTGGACATTTAAGTGCTGTTACACATACAAATATTGTACACGATACAATATGGTAAAACAAATCTGGTCAGTAGGTCCTACCGAATGAAACCGTTTAGCAATTTCTAATGTAGAAACTCCATGTGGTCAACTTGAATCTCCAAAATGGATGATAAACTTTGCATTAGATGAGAGTATTTGTAACTTAAAATCAGGACACCCCCTCCCCCCAAACAGGATTTTACTAGGTATCAGGAGCTAGAATATCAAAATATACCGTAAGGAGCATCAATGTCACTGTTTATGGAGAGTATTCTGTTTATGACTACCGAGTGTTAAATTCATCACTTTAATATTGCGCAACTACAAGCTGTTGCACTGCATTGTCATAGCAGTATCCGATAGCATATTGCGTCAAACAAAAATGAACATAAGAATCCAATAATTTTATTTGATACACACTTATCGCAATGTACGTTGAATATGTGCAGAACGGATAATAAAGACTGCTTTTGTTAATTTATTTATTTATTTAATTTATTTATTTAATTTATTTATTTAATTTATTGACCTACTATTTTTCGTGGCTTCGAGCTTGGCGTCATACAGGTGAAGTTTTATGAACTTCAACTCCGGTTCTTTCTTGTACGCACGTACTTACAGTGGATCGGGAATTTCCTGTCGGTGGGGAGCTTATAAAGACCTTGAAATATTAATTGCGCCTTGTTTGCACCTATTTTCTCGCTTGGAAAACGCCTGATTATACTGTGAATGAGATCAAGTTTTTCATTCCTTGTGGGACACTTGACGCTCTCAAGACTGCGCTGCATCATTTTTGATAGATTTCTGTTCACTCATTCATTCTTTATTTTCCTAAAAATGTGTGCAGTGAGATTTTTCTAGGGTCATGATCATAAGGAAGTGAGTAAAGAGGGACAAATGAAATCGGTCGAAATAATTTTTGTAAAGAGCAAAAGGAAATATGCGCAGCTCTGGAACAAAAATTAGTAGAGTTTCATTTTTGGATTGTTTTCCTGAACAGTCGCAAAGAAATCTTATGTATGCTTCATAATGGTAAAAATAGATGAACTGACTTCTTTGAAAGGTCATCTGTTACTTTGACGTATTGAAATTACATGCAATTCATTCGATTTGGTGTGACCACGGAAAAAAAGTATTAGGAGTTATCCCCTAAAATTTTGGTACTACCCCAATTTGTTCGATGCTATGGACACTTCCAATTAATTTTGGTTGTATCGCAACATTTGGTTTATGGACCTAATTTATTGGGGCGTACTGCCACCATGAACTGAAAATGTTTAAGTCGGAACTTAACCCCTTCCTCTTTTTTTTCCGTGACGTAAAGGGCTGGGTAAGGCCTTGAAATTTCAGCAATTTTTATATGGAAAATCACTGATTAGGTGGGTAATAGTTTCCTCATACGGTCAACTTTGTTTGCAAAGTTTTGCAACGTGAGACTTACGAGGGTGGTGTGAGGTGGGAAAAGTTGCATCAGTGAACGTAAAAAGCAGAAAAAAATTCGCGTTGTTGGGAGTAGGAGGCTGGTCTGTGTGTGTGCGCTCGTAAAATCCAACCCATAAATTGCTGCAAAAGAATTGTAGGCCAATTTGTAAGGAGCTACTCTGCCGCTTTACTTGATTGTTCTTTTATGACTCACAATCAGACTCTATCAGTGGTGAGATTTAGTGTGTGTTCATACTTCATTGTCATTAAAGCACTGCGCAGTTTCAAAAAGTACCCGTTTCGTTTTTTTTGGAACTAGTAGGCGTAGTGATATTGATTTAACCTTAATAGTCACTGCACTCTTTAAAACATCTTAAGAGCTCCCGAGAGGCCGAGGGTAAATTGGACTGCATTTTGCAATTCAGAATATACTACTTCGAGCTCATTTTTAAAAACACCTACGTGCTAGGAAAAAAAATATCACATATGCAGTTTTTAAAATGAAGCAAATATTGTAGTTCCAAATTACAAAATGTGGTCCGCTTGTCCTATAATTTCCTCGTTTACTCTAGAGCGATACTCCATGCGTCAATTCGACTTTTAAGGATTTTCATAAAAATTTGGTTGCGATCAGACTGGAGATTAGAATTTCACAAGTCTGTATAGACGTATAGACAGCACCATATAAAGTAACGAAGTACAAAAAAAATATTGTGGGGAACCCATAGAATTTAGAGCGTCTGATCCTCCGCGCTGAAATATGCAAAATTCTTTTGAGGAAAACCGCTAGGGTAATTTTGATTTGCCCCCACCTCTCTCCCGCCACTCATTCTTTACATCTTTTTGCAAACAGTAAGTTTCACGCCAGTACAAGTAAATTCAATATCAGCTAAGAATCTAAGGACAAGTGTTGTGGTCTGGGATTATTTTTAAATGCTGAGCTCGCACGCTATGAATAGGAGCTGAAAATACGAGTCATCGATCGTTCCTTACCGATTGTAATTTCATCGATTCAAGTTTTTTAATCTAAATTTGTACTGAATAAAGCCCAAAAAAAATAAAAATCTAAATTTGTACTGAATTTGTGACTGTCTTTTGTTTGTTTTTTGTTTCGGTCACAAAGAGAATTTGCAGGTGTCTGAAATTTGATGAATTTCGTGTTTAAGTGAAAACTACTCAGCAAACTGAACACAAAGATACCCTTGGTTTATAAATCGAGCAATTATTGGAGAAGATATGACAAAATGATCTAATCTGTTAAAATACATGTGTTTAAATGGGAAATGCCACCAGATGATGCCACTAGGTGGTGCATTTTCTCACTTTTTAATATATTTTTGTACTATTTCCCTTATCAGAAAAAAAGTATAAAAAATATTGTGAAATTTGAGCACTTTCAGATGAAGCAATACAAAATTTGCATGCAAATTCTTCATCGGCGCGTCCTGGGTCCTCATTGATTCCTGAAAACTGTGCGAGACGTTAAAATTTCAGGGAACTTAACAACGCAGCAATGACTCCAATTTTCAGCTCTCATTTTCAGCTTGCGAATTCGATGAAAGAAAGAATCGAGATCAAATATTTCCTATAGTGGAGTTAGAGTCATAACATCACGAGATTCTAAAGTTCACCTTCGTCTTTTTTCAGCACTACAATGTTTTGGTCAAAAAGGTGTTAGGACAAAAAGATTTTAGGCCAAACTCAAAAGAGGGCCATTTCCAGGCCCCTCAGCATCATCCCTCCTCCTAGACCCCGCAATCGCGTACCTGTGACCTTTGGTCTAAAGACCACCAAATTAGAGTGTAATGTGACACTTCACGCGCTGACTCTTCGAGGAAATATCTAGTCATCATTCACTTTGGGAGTTTCGATGGAAATTTTTTTACGTTTCCAAAGGGTAGAATAGTTACTTAAAACTTCAACAATTTGATCATTTAACCAATAATACAAGGAAAAAGCAAAGGTGATTCGAAGTTAAATCATGTCAAGATCTATTCAAGATGCCATTTTTGAATTTGACCTGCATAAATCATTTCTCAGTGGCTCCTAATTGTATTCAAACTCATTCATAAAAAGAATACCTTCTAAGACAGTTGGAATTAATGTACCTATTAAATAACGGGAAAGACCTCTCTGTCAGTATCGATAAATTCACACGAGTTACCATCGCCGAGAAAGTTCAAAAAATACAGGGATTCCCTTCTTTACGACGAGATAATAGAATAAGCATAGTTTTTATGTTGATGAGGGGGACAAATTTTGCATGTTAGCTTAGCATGTTCAATTATCAAGTTATCCTGG